TTTCACATATAGCAAACATAAAAATCATATTTGTATGTTATAACTATAGTTTGCATAATTGTGCTTCATAGCAAACATCCAATTTTATACAAATTGTTTTGTTTTATATAAATTCATTTATATATTGTAATTTGTATAATAAGATCTATATTTGTATAATTATAAGTGTATAAGACGAAAATATATGTATTTATATATACACTTGTCTCTCGCTTTATACAAACACAAATGCATTTTATACATTTGTATACCGAATGGGTAATTGTATACCAAAAATGGCTAATTGTATATCGAACCAGATGGTAAAAAAATGGGATGTTTGCTGCGAATCACAAATAAAATAAACTATGATTCTAACATTTAATTTGAATTAATAGTTTGCTATTTCATACAATTTTCCCTATATATATTCGTATGATATTTTTAATTTTAACATTTTATCTGACATTTTTAAGCATTATCTAAGAAAATCATTTAATGTGAATAATATTTGAAAACAAGTATTTTAAATATACTTTTTAATTCAAAAAATAAAAATCATCACGATTGGTTATAAATGTATATACTTTCACACTGTTTTTGAAGGGATAAATATACTTTCACATTTTGTTCGGAGGGTTGTTAATTATACAATATTAAAATATTATGTTTATTTTTATTGTTAATTAAATATATCATATTGTTTAAGTTTAAAAGTTTTATTATTTATTTTTTGAAATCCCTGAATATCCATAACTTCTGTCATAAATCTCAACCCTTCGGATAAAAATTACATTCTATAATAAATATTTTGTGGTAGCATGAGATGTAAATAGCTCACTAATACATAAGATGTTAATTGTATTTGACAATCACATGCCACGAGTTCATGACTAAATAGCAGATCGGGGCTGGATCAGATCTCAGCCTTCTATATGGAAGACTCACCCCCAACCAATCAACCATATCGTTGTGGACATTCAAAATATTAATGCGTGATATTATATAACCAAAACATTATATATTCGCATAAACAATACACCTATAATTGGCCACGGCGATGACCAGTTCTTTCTTTACTTCTTCCTCCTACATATTAAAATCGTCCCCATTTCTCTCTCTCAAAGCTCCATTAGAATCAGCTAGCAGCGCCGCCCTAACATCCCTATTTTTTACGGCAGCGTCTACAATTCCGGCAGACCATTACGACAACGTTTACTAGTTTCCTTCATTCCAAATGGGCCAATCTTCCTCAGCTCACGGCTTCTCCCCCACCGATTCCAATTATCCCCACCACCGTTGTTCCGGCACCGGCCATTCCCAATCGGAATTTTTCTACCCTACACTTTCCGAAGAAGACGATTTCCCCATTTCACAACCCTGTGAAAACCGAGATTACACTGATGGTCTTCCTGACGAATGTTTAGCCCTAATTTTCCAGTCCTTGAGCTCCGGTGATCGGAAAAGATCTTCCCTTGTCTGCCGGAGATGGCTTCTGGTTGAAGGGGTTAGCCGTCACCGGCTTTCTCTCAACGCAAAAGCTGAAATCATTCCGGATATACCCACCATCTTCTCTCGTTTCGATTCCGTCACCAAACTCGCTCTCCGATGTGACCGAAGATCGGTTAGCATCAACGATGAAGCTTTGATCCTCATCTCCCACCGATGCGTTAACCTAACGCGCCTAAAGCTTCGTGGTTGCCGAGATATCACCGATTTGGGAATGGCTTGTTTGGCAAAGAATTGTGAGAAATTGAAGAAATTCTCTTGTGGGTCTTGTATGTTTGGAGCTGAAGGTATGAATGCTTTGCTTATTAACAGCATTTCACTCGAAGAACTCTCTGTTAAACGTTTACGGTGTATGAATCATACTGTATCTGTTGAACCGATTAGCATTGGATCTAATGCTGCTTGTTCGCTTAAATCTATATGTTTGAAAGAGCTTTATAATGGACAATGTTTTGGACCTTTGATCATGGGATCGAAGAATTTGAAGACGTTGAAATTGTTGCGATGTTTGGGTGATTGGGATAGAGTCTTGGAGACGATTGCAAGTAGGGAGAATCATTTAGTTGAGATTCATTTAGAGAGGGTTCAAGTGAGTGACATTGGACTCAGGGCGATATCCAAGTTTTCGGACTTGGAGATTCTTCATTTGGTGAAAGCTCCTGAATGTACAGATGCTGGAGTTGTTGATGTGGCTAGACATTGTAAGTTGTTGAGGAAGGTTCACATTGATGGATGGAGGACGAATCGAATAGGTGATGTTGGTTTGGGTGCCATCGGCGAATATAGTGTAAACCTCAAGGAATTGGTAATTATGGGTTTGAATCCTACGGTGACTAGTTTATTAGCCATTGCTTCTAATTGTCAAAAGTTAGAAAGATTAGCACTTTGTGGTAGTGAGAGTATTGGGGATGCTGAAGTAACTTGTATTGCTACAAAATGTATGGCTTTGAAGAAGCTTTGTATTAAGGGATGTGAGGTAACAGATGAAGGGATTGTGTCTTTCGCGTGGGGATGTCCTAATTTGGTGAAAATTAAGGTTAAGAAGTGCAAGAACGTAACTGGTGAAGTTGCAGATTTGTTGAGATCAAGAAGGGGATCTTTGACGGTGAATCTTGATGTTGGGGAAGTTGATGTGGAGGTTGTGGATGGTAGCGCTAGTGATGGTGGAGCATTAGAAGAAGGCATAGAGTTTCCGCCGATTGCAAGAACTGTTCCCATCCTTGGTGCTGGTGGTGTCGTTGATATTGATACCCCATCGACCGGTAATTTTGGTCGATCATCATCATCTACTTCAAGGATTGGCTTTCTTGGAGGAAGGGGCTTCGTTGCTTGCACTTTCCGTAGGTGGTCAAATGGTAACGCCAATGAGAACTTATGAAAATTGTGAACACAAGTTAGAACAGAGAAAACACTCTGTTCAACTTCATTTTTAATTGAATCAATAGAAAAGTGTGGATGTGCGACTTATCTCTCCTTCGTTTGTGTGTTTGATAATTGCTTTTTGAAAATTTGATATGTAACCATAGATGCATTTAGAATCTTAGAAGTCACTTCTTGGATGATGAAATCTATCCCTGCTCTATTGACAATTGCATTATAGAGTGCTGTCTTGAACCATGTATACTGTTGCTTCTGGTATGTGAATCAAATAGATATTGTTCCATCGTCTAAATGTCATCAAGGACAGTGATCATTATGCATGTTCATTGTCATTTTGCTTCAAGAATGGAGTAATACATGTCGAAGCACCTTTCTATATTACCAGGAATGCACATATTACTTCGACTGCTAGACCCTCCTCTTCCCTCTTTTTTATTTTTCCGAGAAAAGATCGATCTCCAAGATTCCCCTCTCCTAAAAGTTGAATTCTGCAACTTGAAGAAATGAAACAAAAAAGAAGAAAGAGAACAAGTCCTCAAGATTTCTCCTTTTGTAGCCTGGGTATTCATTATGTTGTTACCTTGTAGTCTTTGCAATTGATTTATATTTTATTTAAGAAAAGGTAAAGAATCCGATGCTCTGAAGATTGAATGGTCCAACAATGTTACTGTATAGCAAAGCAACTTTGTTTATTGGAACCTTTGTTACTTCTGCCCTAAATCCCATCATGCATTTGACAAAGATATGGCTTTGCTTGAAAGATTTATCAGAATATGTCATTTGGAGAAGGGCAAAGAAACACTCATGCTGGGCTTTGATTACTCTGTTATGGTTCAGGGAGGAATGATAATCTCTTTAATGATAAAAGACTACTCAGCAAGCCACATGATATCAATATTTGGCTAGGATGTCTACTTCCAAGTTGCTTAGAACCCAATTACAGCTTAAATGGATACCCCCTAAACCAAATTATTATAATCTCAATACCGATGGGGCCTTTACAAACACATCGGATAGTGGAGGCATATGAGGGGTTTTTAGGAACTCAGATGGTCGGCCATTGGATACTAGGCAACTGTATGCATATTCCTTATACTATAATTAGGGTCGTTCATGGTTATGGTTAAAAAATCGAATCAAACTGATTAAAAAAATCAATATTGTCACGCTCTGAGGCTACGCCCTAGACGTGGACGGCACTCGAGAACCATTTTTGGTCCCCAAGTGAATCCTTTTCCCGGCTGACTACTATGTTTAGCTTGGTCATGCATACCATGTTTTGTATTGTGTCCTCTTATGATCCATGTTTCATATTTTATAGCATATCCCTCATACTTAGTACACTCCATGCACTAATACATACTTGTGCCTACATTGTTTAACTAATGTAGGGTCTGACGATCTTCCTCCTCCTGCTCGTGGCTAGTGGCTTGACCATTTGAAATTTAAGACTTTGCGAGTTTTCATGTTCTGAGGACCATGCCACATTTACTTTGCTTTCATGTCTTTAGTTTTCGGATATTGTACGTGGTGTATGGGTTATGTCCCAACCACTTCTTTGAGATATTAAAATGACTTGTCGAGACTATGATTAGACTTCCACTTTATGTCAAAACTCTTTTATAATATGAGACGTTTTTCTTAAATTCCCATATTTTCTACTATGTTGTGTTGTATGTATATCAAGTGGCTTGTTTAGAGCCTCTCGAGGTCTTATACGCCTTGTCACATCTAGGGTGTACTTTGGGCTATGAAAAACTTGGTATTCAAAGAACAAGGTTTTAGAAAAGGTCCTAAGATGTTTGACAAGCCGTGTTGAGTAGAGTCTTGTTCATAAGTATGAAGCGCACCACATTTATGAATAGGAGGTGATACTTATCGTGACCAACGACACTAACCTACGGTATGAGTGTCTACGATCGTCGATAGTATAGTAACCCAACTAAAGGTTGGGGTCGTGTCCCAAGGGAGTGGTTTTGAGAATTGATAGAAAAATAAAATTTAGCTCTAACTAGTCGTACCTAAAGACATTAATGAACAAAAATATGGTAAATAAAGGGGGTGACACGAAAGTGTCAAATATCGATTTTGGGGTTTCGTTACAAGTAGTAAAAGCAGCAAAAATTAACAAGAAAATCAAGTATGGGGAAATGTTCTTGGGGTGTGACCGCAATACAAGTTGAGAGAAATAGTTGGGTACATGCGTTTGACAAGAAATATCTAAGATAATAGTGACTAGGCTAAGCTTTAAATGAAAATAAGTTCCCTCTCGGGCAACTTACCCCATTTCAAATGCGTTCCTCTC